TAGTTGGAACAATATATAATCAAAAATATTTACAATGTAAGAAACAGCGTTAAAAACAAACGCTTTAAGTTAAATTGCAAGAGATGATGAGGATGTACTGAGTAAAAGGCAAGGTTTGATTTACATATATTTTTAATGGATTTTCATGCAAGAGAGTGGTTGTAAAACTCTTGAATTATTGAGAAAATGAACAGTTCAATTTTAGAAGGCTTGTAGCTAAAATGAATAAAGATAGGTCAACTTTTACATTTATATATCTTGTTAAACTAAGGTAGGTGATATAAGGAATATAACAGAAAATATATGTGAAAACTTTAACCTCCGATAGGAGCCGAGGAAGATTAAAGATGTACCAGTCAGTCTTCTACCTGTCATCTGTTAGTGGTATAACATAATTATTGTGATTAGTCAACAATATGGTTAAACCCTCTCACTTAGTTTATCACAGACTCTAACTTGTAGTGATGAAAACCACAACTCTGGGAACTGTCAAGTCTGTATCCAATCTATACTTACAACATGTCATGTTAAAACTTCCATGACACCAGGTTATAATCCAACAGATTTATTTGAAATCACAAGCCCTTGGAGCACCACACACCCGGCCTTGCCCGCCTGGTGAAGTGCAGAAAGATGCACAGGCACAGAACCCACAGCAGAGATATCAAAAGGTCATATGAATGGTGTGATTGGATTTGATTTGACTTATTTATTGTCATGCTTACCCAAATACAGTGAAAAGCTTTGTCTACAAGCAGTACAGGCAGATAATAGTAAGCAAGGGCATACAGATCATAGGGTGAAAAAAAAACTTTGAGGCGCACAGGGAGTGCACTGAGCAAGATCAGCATTATTTGAAGTTAAGAGAGTCCATTCATCATTCTAATAATGGCTGGAAAGAAGCTGTTCTTGAACCTGTTGATGCATGAGTTCAAGCTTCTGTATCTTGTAGCATTGCTGGGGTGTGATGGGTCTTTCATGTTGGCAGCGACAGGTTGAATAATAAGTCTCTGTAGGCGATCAAAAGTGTCAGACGGTGGGAACAAAGCACCAACAGCTGAACTGCAGCGGGGAAATAACCCACAATCCAACCAATTGAGGCAGAGGGACAGCTACAAAAATTAAAGTAAGACATTCCTGGCAAGGTCTTCATTCTTCAATCTTGCCCGTAATGCTTTTACTGACTGATCATTCTTATTGATATCTCCTCTTTCTAATGCTGTTATGTTCCTTGTCAATATGTTTACTATTATTTTGTAATTTCCCTGCCCTTTCCAAAGATCTTATCATCTGAAATATTTATTTTCTGTTTAAGTTCAATATGGAGATGGGTATCTGTGGTGGTCACTGAGGTCATTTAGCTCACTTTTTCAAATGTTTATTCCATATGGTATTAAAAGAAAAGACCTTTAGAGTTGGGCAGTAGATCCATATCTTGCCGTTGTGCTGGGAGGTTTTAAGATACATTTTGCATTATCATGTTCCCTATTTCATTAGCGTTTATTTTATTTTTTGGAATGTCAATGTTGGCAACATTATTGCCAATTCTTAAGTGCTCCCAAGGAGGTTATGATGGTGGTGAACTGCTTGGACGCCCACAATGCTCTTACAGTTTGTTTCAAGATTTTGGAGGAATGGTGGTGATGTGTCAAGTCAGGATAGTATGATTTGGAGAGATGAGTGTGTTCTTAAGTGTTTGTTTTCCTTGGTTCCTCAAGGTAGCAGAAGTCATTAGTTTGGAAAATGCTGTTAGAGAAATTTTGGTGAGCTACTGTATTGCATCTTGTATAGCTATGCACTACTGCCACTGTGCGGCACTAGTGGAGGGAATTTGATTTGTAAAGTGATGGATGGCATGGTTTTGAGCTTCGAGTGTTGTTTGAGCCATGTTTATCTAGGCAGGTAGAGTGCCGTGGAGTCATTACAGCACAAATGGAGGCTGTTGAATCACAGGTTATTGCAGAAAATAAAAACTCATGGTGTAGGTGGTAACAAATTGGCATGTTGAGAAAATTGCCTGATAAACAGGAAGTAGAGATTTGGAATAAATGGATCTTTTTCAGATATCCTGAATGGTGTACCACAGGGGTTGGTGCTGGAGTTTCAATACTTTCCAGTTTATATGCTGACAACACCAAGATAAGTAGAAAAGTGAGTTGTGTAGAGGACACAAGGAGCTTACGAAGGGATAAGGTTAAGTGATTGGCAACGTTCTAGAAAATGGAGTATAACGTGGGAAAGTGGGAAATTGTCCATTTTGGCTGGGCAAAAAAAAGAAGCATATCATCTAAAATTTGAGAGATGCAGAGAGATCTGGGCGTTCTTATACGTGTTGCAGGTTAGTATGCAGATACAGCAAGTGACCAGGAAAGCTAACTTTTTTTATTGTTGTGAGGGGCATTGAATGGAAGAGTAGGGAGCTTATGCTTTAGTCATGCAGTTGATTGCTGAGACTGCATCTTAATAATACCTACAGTACTGATGGCCATATTTGTGGGAAAATGTTAAGGCATTAGAAGCAATTCACAGAAGGTTTACTACATGAATACCTGGACTGAGTGGCTACCTTATGAGGAAGGCTAGACAGGCTAGGCCTGCTTCCCCTGGAGTTTACAAGAGACAGAGGTGACTTAATTGAGGAGATTTCACTGGCTGGATATAGATAGGATGTTTCCTCTTGTGGAAGAATCTGGAACTAGGGACCAAAGCGTAAAAGTAAGTGGTGCCAATTTAAGATGATTGAAGGGGAGAAGTAAGTTCTGAGAGTTGAGAGTCTTTGGAATTCCCTTCCTCAAAAGGTAATAGATGCAGAATCTTGATTACCAAGGAGACAAAAGACTATCAGGGATATGCAGGAATGTAAAATTAGATCAGATCAGCTATGGTATTATTGAACAGTGGAGCAGGCTTGAAGACCTGAGTGGTTTTCATTTAACATGCATAGGAATATTTTGGGAATGCTAAAGGAGGAATAGCTGTAACTTGGAATTTTAATGAAAATGAGCCTCCAGTGCTAATGCAATAAGGCATGTTTGTTCCCTTGTTCTCATTTTATATGTTTTAGTTTGTGGCAAGGTTTTGTTTTATTGAAGCTGTTGACTAACTGCTTGGGAAGAGTTGTATGGATCTCAATTACCATCTAGTGCCCCACACAAATGGCCAGTATTCAGCACCTCCTATATTCTGCCTGGGAGCCCTGCAGCCCAATGGTCTCAATGTGGACTTTACGAGCTTCAAAATCTCCCCACCCCCTACCTCGACCCAAGACCAGCGCTCCCCCACCTCCCCCCGTCCCCGCCTCCTTGACCTGTCTGTCTTCTCTCCCACCTATCTGCTCCTCCCACCTCACTGACCAACCCCCATCCCAACTCCCTACCTACACTTGCCTTTACTAGCTTCATACCCGCCTCCCTGACCTGTCCGTCTTCTCTCCACCTATCTGCTCCACTATCCACCTTCCATCACCGCCTTCCCCCCTCTCTATTTATTTCAGAGCCCCCTTCCCCTCCCTCATTTCTGAAGAAGAGCCCAGACCCGAAACGTCAGCTTTCCTGCTCCTCCGATGCTGCCTGGCCTGCTGTGTTCATCCAGCTCCCCACCTTGTTATCTATGGCCCATATTCATGTTAGAATATTACAACTCAGAAATGAACTGTTTGCCTTATTTAATTTCCTTGGTTGTTTTCAATCCACATGAGCCATATAATTTACTCAATCAATCTATTCATCTTTGTTATTTGTCTTTGAGAACTTGCACAGAAGAATGTTCAAACAGCTTTGTAAGGAAAATTGATGCTGAGGAAATATTGAATGGCTCCAAAGACTTGATGGAAAAAGTTAGGTTTTAAGGAGATTTGAAAGGGGGAGACAGACAAGGAGATTATTGTAAGAAAGTCTATAGACAGTAGAAGGACAGATACTGAATGATGTGGTTGAATGCACTTATTATCTCAGCTTCACCAATGGTTTCTGCCAGAGTTCAACACTAAGGCTGATGGGATTAGGAACTTGAGTCAGTTTCATTGATTCTCTAAACTAAAATTTGATTTGCAACGCAACTCTTGCCCTACTCCAGCTGAGATTAGCTAACTCAACACAAGTGATCAACTTATCCGAGAGGCTCAGCTGATCACTAGCCAAGCTTTCAAAGCTGGTCAGGCAACTCCAGCACTTTGTTTTTAGTTATTTTGGTGTGTATGAATGCCACAACGCAATGCCCAGCATTGAATGTTTAGGCTTCCTGCACACCTCCAAATAACAGGAACTGTATTTGCACAGATATTCTGAGTGCATTCTGAAAGAAAATAAGTATTGTACAGCCCTGTTGTGACATAGTGGTAGTGTCCCTGCCCCTGGACCAAAGACGCCTGGGTTCAACTCTCGCCTGCTCCAGAGGTGTGTAATAACATCTCTGAAAAGTTTGATTAGAAAAAGTAGGTAACCTGCTGCAATCTATGTCCTTTGGAGCCAACAGAGGAAAAGAAAGTAAGTCTTTTACTTGAATAGTGCCTTTGACAAATGGGGATGTTCTACAAGCAGTTCACAACCAATGAAATACTTTCAATGTGTTGTCACTGTTGTAAGGAGGTATTAAAGTGATTTATTTGCGAATCACAGGCCCCCACAATCAATATGATAATTCCCAGATAATCTGTTTTTGTGATGTTCAATTAGGGATAAACATCAGAATGCTGGTGATAGTTACCCCATTCCTCTTTAATCTTTTGCCATGGTTTCTTTTATATCCTGTATGAGTAGGTGAGGTTCACGATTTAGCATCTCATCTGAAAGCTAGGTCCTCCAACAGTGGAGCACTCCTTTAATACTGCACTGTAATGCCAGCCTGGATTTCTGGGTTTAAATCTCTGATCTTGCCTTGAACACAATCTTCTGACTGGGGCATGAGAATACAATCAACTGCATCATATATAGTATAACAGTTGAAAAGTTGTTTGCTTGTAATTTTAGTTTTTGATGGAGTTTATTCTCTTCTTATTCCAGTTATTTGGCATGGCAGCAGAGGAAAAAATCCCATCAGCTTTGGGCCTTGGGAATGAACAGTCTCACTCTCCAACAAGCCCATCTCATCTCACCCATTTTAAGCCACTGACTCCGGATCAAGATGAACCTCCCTTCAGATCAGCCTACAGTTCTTTTGTAAGCCTTTTTCGTTTTAACAAAGGTGAGAAGCTTATGCTTAGTGTTTTTTATTTGATGAGCATTCCAAAGTGCTATCACCAGAAGTACTGAATGATAATGTACAGAAAACAATGACATGAGGTTGATTCTGAGCTTTTGCCAATAATTGTATTATCTTTCTCCTCTTTGCACTGATTGATGTCATGTTTCCACTGCATGAACTTGAGATATGATCCTGAAATGGATACTTTCAAAAATAGAGTTGAGGTCGGGTGGGTATTTTCTTTCCTGTCAATACATAGGAGAAAACATATAAATAAACCTCCATTATCTCAACCAAAAACAAAAATTGCTGGAGAGACTCAACAGATCTGGCAGCATCTGTAGAGAGAGAGCAGACTTAATGTTTTGGGTCTGCTGACCCTTCTTCAGTTCTGAAGTTCAAAATGTTAACTCCTGCTTTCTATCCACAGATGCTGCCAGACCTGCTGAGTTTTTCCCTGCAATTTCTATTCGTGTTTCAGATTTCCAGCACCCACGGTCCTTTTTTTGTTCCATTTATCACAATGGTGTATCCATGAGCAATAGCAGGATCCTATAGCTTTTCTGTGACCTAGCCGTCAGAAACCATTTGTGAGGAGAGTGGAAAAGATGTTCTGATCATTGACAGAATTTAGGTTTCTAATGAGGTTTAGTAAGGTACATTCTGGGGGATGGTGAGAGAAATACACTGACCAGCGAAGGAACACTATCTTGTCTGAGAAATCGTCAGTGGGCAGCAATTCAATTTGAACTTGACCTTTCTGCTGAATTGAAGCAGGGTTTTTCTACAAGTTTTTTTTTTTCTTCGGTAGTGTATCAGGATTGGAATAGAGCAGCAGGAAACCACATCTTCCTATAACCAGCAGAATCATTTCCAATGGACAAACAAATAATTGCAGGCCTGAATAAAAGCAAAATACTGTGGATGCTGGAAATCTGAAACAAATAGAGAATGTTGAAGTAATTCAGCAGGTCAGGCATCATTTGTGGTGAGAGAAATAGAATTAGCGTTTTGCATCTGATATGATTCTCCTTCAGCTCTGAAGAAGAATAATACCTGATTTGAAATGTTAACGCTTTCTTTCTCCACACATGCTGCCATATCTGCTAAATTTCAGGCATGCGTCACTTTTGAGTCTTCAGCTTGGGGAAGGGCAGGTGTGACAAAGAACTCTTAAACTTTTGGGACTAAATTCATGCTACTTTCGTAATTACAAACCTTCCTTGGGAGGTGTGTGTGTGTGTGTGTCTGTATAATGGGCCAAGCACAGGCAGGTGAGACTAGTTTAGTTTGGCATGGACTGTTTGGACCGAAAGGTGTGTTTCGGTGCTGTATGACTCTATACTGTGCGAGTGGGCGAGGTTGCATATACACTTGGGTGCTTTAATAATAAATATTTATCATTCTTTTAAGACTTAGGAGAAAACTAAGGATTAAACGCATTTTCTTGTTCAAACACACTTTCTTCAGTCAGGTAAGAGATAGGAAAGTTGTTTGAGGGATGGGGTATGTTCCTGTCATTTCTCCCTAGTCCATAATACAGATGTGACTGTGGTGCGGCACAGTGATATTTTAATTACATTTTGTTCAAGGTTAAGCAGTTAATGACTTAGTAGTATTAGCAGTACAGAACGAGCATTATATCACATGTGAAATGCTGCAAAGAATTTGTGCTGTGCTTCAGTAGGTAGGGGCTTACCAACGAAACATCCTGTCTATTTGAGGCCTCTCCGTTCATTGGACCAAACCTATCTGCATTTGCCTTTGTACATCAGCAGCTTTATCTGGGATTTCTTCGGTTTGGATCCAGAATCTCCTGTTTGCTTGGCACTGGTGCTTGGTTCTGTTCCATAGTCTGCCCTTGCTTGTGTCCTGGTAGTTCTAAGGCCTAATCCTGTAACTGACCTCTGTCTACACTTTTGAAAATGGGTACAGGGATTGTTATTGACACAGGTCTATCAAAATGTTTGGATTGCCAATGAGGTGGTCAATGTGGCGTTGAGTGCCTTTCATACAAGGAAGAAAAGTCAGCACACCCCTCATCTCCATCTTTCAGGGGAAGGTGGTGAGGTGTGGCTAAATAGTGGTCAGAGGGGTAAGGCACCTTTTAAAGCCCTATCATTGGCTTGCCATAAAAGGTGGGAACTGTTTCTCCTTTTATCTTGTCATGCTTCTTTTAAGATGCACGTACACAGGTTTAAGGCTCATTATCTTTTATATTCTTTATTAGGTCTTGGGTTTATCATTCTGAAGCCCAATTATCAGCAAAAAGATACCCTACTTTGTGTCAAATTGACAGCTTGTTAGTGTAACTGTAGTTACTGCTATGTCAATAATTTCATATTTTGCTGATTACATTAAGTAGAAAATACTTGGAATCCTGGAATCATAGCATCATGCAGTACAAAAGAGGCCCTTTGGCTCATCAAGTCTAACATTGACAAAACAACCTCTAAATCTGCACTTGTCCTACTTTCCAGCACTTGGCCACTAGCTTTGACTGTTATGACACCTCAAGTGCTCATCTAAGTACTTTGTAAAGTCGCGAGGTTTCCCGCCTCAACTACATTCCCAAGCAGAGCATTCCAGATTCCCATGATCCTCCCGGGTGAACAACATTTCTTCTCTAAACCTACTGCCTTTAAAATTATGCCCCCTTATCATTGACTCTTCAAATAAGGGGAGCAGCTACTTTCTTTCCATCCTGTCCATGCCCCTCATAATTTTTATACCTCAATCAGGTCCCCTTTCAGTCTTCACTGCTCTAAAGAAAACAACCTGAGCTTATCCAGCCTCTCTTCATAGCTAAACTGCTCCATCCTCGGCAACATCCTGATGAATCTCCTCTGCACACTTTTTTCAGTGCAGTCGTAACCTCCCTCTAGTGTGGTGACCAGAGCTATACACCAGTTCTCCAGCTGTGACCTATGGAAAGATTTTTGCACAGCCCCAACATAACCTCCCTGCTTTTGGAATCTGTGTCATTGGCTTATAAAGGCAAATGTCTCATATACCTTCTTAACTAGCCTAATAACCATCCTGCTGCATACAAGCGTCCCAAGATCACTTTGTTCCTCTGAGCTTACTTGTATTCTACCATGCATAGAGCACTTCCTTGTCTTGTTTCTACCTCCAAAGTGCATCAGCTCACATTTATCAGAGTTAAATTCCATCTGCCACTGATCTGCCCATGTGACCAACCCAAATATATCATCTCATAACTTAAGACCGCCTCCCTCACTGTCAACTATCTGGCCAATCTTCATGTCATTCACAAACTTATTTATTTCCCCCTACATTTTCTTCTATATTGTTTGTTTACTTATTTCTCATGAATAATAAGGGACCCAGTACTGATTTGTGTGGTTTGGCACTGAGCACCAGCCTCTGGTCATGCAAATAACCTTCTATCACTACTGTCTGTCTCCCTATCCCTAAGCCAATTTTGGATTTAACTTGCCAGGTTACCTTGGATCCCATGCACTTTTACATTGTTTGTTTGTCATAATTTCACGTGGCACCTTGGTAAAGGATTTGGTGAAATCCATATAAACTGCATTACCCTCATATATACACCTGGTCACCACCTCCAAAATTCAATCAGATTCCTTCAGCAGTTTTAGGTTATGAATTGCCACATACACTTGCTCAAGTCAATGATTAAATTCCTGTTTTAATACAAAAAAGTGGTCGATGAAAGTTTCTTATTCAGAAGTACGTGTGTTACAGTGAATCCAGGTACATGAGTTACAACAATATTTTCTGTCAGCTTTTGGTTATTGGATATACATTTAGTTAGTCCAAAATCTTTATTGACAATACTTAGTACAGATTCAACATGCAATAGAATAGTTTTTCTCCAAGGTTTCTATATTTGGTCCCTTCTTCATTCTCCTCAGTGGTCTGTATAAAGCAAGTTATGCAAGTTGCCAGGAGTAAGGAGTAGCATATGTTATTCTCCACGTCATTTGGTAACTAAACCAGAAGTAATGTTGGTCTCCCAATAGATTGTTCAATCTTGATTTCTGGGGCTACATTTGAAATTATGAGAGCCAAGAATAAATTATTGAATAAAATGACATGGACAATACAGAAGATGGGAAGGAAAGTAAATAGCCTGATGCTGTGGAGGTGAAGAGTTGGCAGTATTTATCATATTTTTTGTTTTATACCAAATTGCACATTGATTTAGAAAATCAAAATTGTTACTTCGGATATATTTTTGAAAATCCTCTTACTTTGTACCCCTTCTCACCCCAATGTTAGATGATGGAAGACCAAACTCTTCATATCGAACAGACCTGACTCAAAGTGAACCACCGGTTAGAGAAGAAATTTGGACCAGCCACCAAAGTGACGACCAAACATATTTAAGATCATCATCACCCTACAAAAAGCAACATGCAAGGGAAAACCCACGGAGAGCATCTAGTGCATCAATGGTCAAATCTCAAGGTGCAGGTAAGGAAAAGCTAATGACTAATGTTGTTATTTTAAGTGTTGTCAATTGCTTACAAGCTAATAGTGTGAGAAGTATTGATTGCTGCTAAACAATTTCTCCACAACTGACGTGTGCCTTTTACAAGAGTGGAGTTTCATTGTTTCATTTATTAACTATAGATGATTTTTAAAAATTAAAAATGATAGGCATGGTTCACTTCTTCATTCTGTCTTAGTTATCTTTCCCAGTCTTTTTTGTTTTGCCTCCTGTCCTTTTTTTTTTGTATCTTGAACATAATTTGTGTTGAATTAAGTATTCTAATTTGCAGTTGCTTCAATTCATTGGGTAAGAAAATGTGCCATTGCTTGCTGTTTTCAAACAGGCCCTAGATTTCCTTCAAGAACATTGTCTGTTCTTGTTTTATAATAACTGGAACTTGCAGTTCAAAACCCATACTCTGCCAGTAACTGCAAATGTAGTGAACAGCATGTGATGTTCGTTGATTGATCGCTGCAATATCAAGATGATTGCCTTGAAACATTTATCTGCTAATGAAAGATGCACATATGACCAATGTATCTTTCAAGTTTAGCTCTTGCGATCCAGAAAAGAAGTATATCACATTACTAACAGCAAGCAACGACAGATGATAGTCATGCCATATGATTAACATAGCTTTATGTGATGCATCGCACTGTTCTGCATGTTACTGAAGTTTATGTGCTCTAAATTGCAACTGTGTTCCAACCACAGAATGCAAATAGGAGTGGTTAGAACCCCTGCCCGCTCTGGTTTGGAGTTCAGCAGCCTGAGTAGAATAACAAAATGTTTCGTATTGTGTGGCTTTTAAATTGTCTTGTTAGTGCTTTTTTTGCAATAAAAGAAACTACTTAAAATGCTGTTAGCTGCCACGACGTAATTATTAAGCAATTTATATAAATTAAACAAAATAATATATTGTACAAAAATTTCGAATTTACAATTGCAGACGTGGATTTGGATATAAATTCTGGATTTAGGTATGATAAGTAAGTGAAGAGAGACATTCTTTCCCCATTCTGGAGCATTTCAACAACACCTTTGACTTTCTCCCCACTCTGGCCATTCTGCCTCCTGTTTTCTTTTTTTTTTATCATTCATCCATGGAATGAGGGTATTGCTAACTAGGCCAGCATTTATTGACCATTTGCTTAAATTGTCTAGAGAGCAGCTCGGAGTCAACCACATTGCTGTAGGTCTGGAGTCACATGTAGGCCAGACCAAGTAGGGATGGTAGTTTCCTTCCCTAAAGGACATTAGTGAACTGCAGCACCCTTTCCAAGCAATCCGTCCTGCTTTCTGGACTGTATGCAGCCCTCCCTGCAAGGCAGGCACCCCTTTCCCTTGATTCAGCCACTCACTCACCCAAATGCTACACTCAACCCTGCCGTGGCATTCCCTCCGCTCTTGGCATGCCTCCTCTTAACTGAACATGTCGAATGGTAGCCGGTGACAAGTGGTGTTCCGCAAAGGTCAGTATTGGGACCACAACTTTTCACTTTACATATTAATGATCTAGATGAAGAAACTGAGGGCATTCTGGCTACGTTTGCAGACGATACAAAGATAGACAGAGGGACAGATATTGAGGATGTGGGGAGGCTGCAGAAGGATTTGGACAGGTTGGAAGAGTTCGCAAAGAAGTGGCAGATGGAGTACAACGTGGGAAAGTATGAGGTCATGCACTTTGGTAAGAAGAATAGAAGCATGGACTACTTTCTAAAGGGAGAGAATAACTCAGAAGTCTGAAGTGCAAAGAGATTTGGGAGTTCTAATCCAGGATTCTCTCAAGGTAAACCTGCAGGTTGAGTCAATAGTTAGGAAGGCAAATCAACTTTGGTGTTTATTTTGAGAGGACTTGAATATAAAAGCAGGGATGTACTTCTGAAGCTCCATAAGGCTCTGGTCAGGCCACATTTGGAGTATTGTGCGCAGTTTTGGACCCCATATGTCAGGAAAGATGTACTGGCCCTGGAGCAAGTTCAGAGGAGGTTCACGAGAATGGTCCCAGGAATGAGAAGCTTAACATATGAGGAACGTTTGAGGACTCTGGCCTATACTTGATGGAGTTTAGAAGGATGAGGGGAGATCTAATTGAAACTTATAGAATACTGAATAGCCTGGACAGACTGGATGTTCAGAAGATGCTTCCATTGGTAGGACAGTCTAGGACCCGAGGGCACAGCCTTAGAGTAAAGGGAACACCTTTCAGAATGGACATAAGGAGAAACTTCTTCAGCCAGAGAGTGGTGAATCACTGCCACAGAAGGTTTGTGGAGGCCAGGTCATTGAGTATATTTAAGACTGAAAAAGATAGGTTCTTGATTGTCGAGGGGATCAAGGGTTATGGGGAGAAAGCGGGAGAATGTATTGAGAAACTTATCAGCCATGGTTGAATGGTGGAGCAGACTCAATGGGCTGAGTGGCCTAATTTCTGCTCCTATGTCTTATAGTCTTAGATTCTCTGACATCTTGAGGGTTAGTTCAACCACAGTTGAGTTCTATGCAGCAATTTTTTAATCAATTTGTATTGAACCTTAACCCAGTTTCAAACAAAAAAATAAATTATTCTGGCTCCTTGAAGTTGAAATAGTGGTAATAATTTAATCCAGGCACTTGAATAAATGGGGTAGGGTTGCAACCAACAGTTTAAACTGATCGACTAAAACTGTATTCAGTTGGCTTAAGAATTAATATTCCTCAAACTTTTACAATGCTGATAAAAAGAGTCAGTGGCTCCTATAACAGTCGTCATGGTTTTAATGGTATTGTGTTGTAACAGCTAGTGTGGTTGAGCCTTTCTTTCTTTTCCATTGATTATAAATGTTGTAGCTGAATCAGCCCTGTAGTTATTAATTCACTGTTAACTGTGGTATAATTAATAGCTGTTCCTGTAGTTTTGAGATAAATGAAATCTATACTGTTTTTTCCTGGGTGGAGGCGATGGCCTAGTGGTATTATCGCTGGACTGCCAATCCAGATACCTAGATAATGTTCTGGGATCCAGGTTTGAATCCTGCCACAGCAGATGGTGGAATTTAAATTCAATAAATATCTGTAATTAAGAGTCTAATGATGACTGTGAATTAATTGTCAATCGTTGGAAAAGCCATTTGATTCACTAATGTTCTTTATGGAAGGAAACTGCTGTCCGTACCTGGATTGGTCTACATGTGACTCCAGACCCACAGCAATGTGGTTGCCTCTTAACTGCCGTCTGCGCAATTAGGCATTGGCAATAAATGCTGCCTGGCCAGCAACGCCCTCAATCTGTGAATGAAGTTTTAAAAAGTGCTCATAAATAAAGCTTTTTGGGTCAGCGTGCAGGGGAATAAATAGAGGGGACTTGAGGTTTTGGAGAAAAAAAAGTGCTCTGTGGTTAATCCTTGAAATCATCCCGTTGATAATTATGACCAGCTTTAAACCAGCTCCTGTTCAAAAACAAAAGGTCTTATCTCATGCATTACAATTGTTAAGAAAATTGCAGTCATGTACTTCGGTGAATGCTGTCAAACCCAATAGTGCTGCATTTTCCTAAAAGAAAGAACAGGAAAGATATCAGCAAGATGGGCAGTATGGGTTTATTCCAGTATAATCCATAAGGCATCCCAGAAATTTCTTGACAACCATCCACAGTTGAATTTTGCCAGTCATGGGCTGAACTTGCTGCTTCAAACTGTGTTTCATTATACCATGCTGTAGGCTTTGACAGCATGCTTGCCATGAAGACCATCAATGTGAGGGAAGAGAGAAGAGGGAAGGCAGAATAAATCCGTCATCTGGGAGGGTATGCATTCTTGGCAAAAAAGTGCCACCATGACTGCTGTGAAAAGTACTCCTAACTATACCAGACAAGTACAATAGGAGAAAACACGATCGTTTCCAATCTAACTATAACTTTCATAGATGTAGAATCTTTTAAAGTAGGTGCTTCACAGTGGCATTTCCAGACAAAGTTTAACGCTGAGGAAACACAAATCAGGTTACGAAAGCTTGGTCAAAATACTTGATTTTATAAATGTCTTTAAGCAGGAGGAAGATACATCAGTAGAGAGATCTTGAGAAGGATTTCCTGAATTTTAAATTGTGGTGGCTGAAGATAATTTTTAAAAAAAGTTTAAAATACGTCTAACTTCAAAGACAAGATTACAGATGATTAAATTGCTTACAACTCTTGGATTTGCATACATTTGTACATTTCCATATACTAGGGCACACACTTTCACTTAAGGAAGCTCAACGAATATTAAAGAATTCCATGTTAATGTCTGCCGCATCTGTTTTTTTACCTACTGCTATGGATCCAATTGCTGTTTGGGATATCGGTGTATTTGAGGAGGTCCAACTCAGGACCTTGGTACTCTTGCTCCCTGTCTCATATAGGCTAACAGCTTCAATTACCTCCTTGAGTTTGACTCTGTGCATGAAGAATTACCGCTGTCATTATCTTGTGTAATGTTGGAAGTTATGATGCTTAACATGCCTTTCTTTTGCTTTAAATTTTCCTGTAGTTCTTGTACGGCTTCCCTTTTCTTTTACACTCCCTTGCCCTATTTTATTGTGCTTCCAATTCCCATGTAATACGCTGCTTAATTCTGACTCTAATTGTTCCAGCAGCTTTTTTATTAAACCATGTTTTTTGTCTGAGAGTAGCTCTCTGGATTTGGATGTGCCTTGCCTTTAAAGTAACTGACAGATTTGAAGATTGTGATATTTTTGTTCTTGTTTACTCTGCGGGAATTCAGATTTTTTGATGTAACAGTTCTTAAGATTTTTTTTTGATCTAATGGGCTCAAGACTTGGGTTGTGATTGCTGTCTTTGTTTTATAATTTGTTTTTCTTGCCAGTGCATAATCACAGGTTTCCAAGTTTCCTTTCATAAGTGATGCTCTTTGATTAGTATTTTAAGTACCTTTCTGGTTGCTCAAATGGATGAATGGTCTCTTTATACAAAAATGCATAATTTGAAGGTTATTTGATAGAAGGTTACTGTGGGGGTAGAAAGAGTCAAATATTTGTTACCTATGTGTAATACTGTATCTTGGAATGGAATAAATTTGAAAAACTTTCATCTGAAGATGTTAGTTATAAAATGAAGTTTAAAACACATGCTGCAAGCATTATTTTAAGACTGTAAAATACATAATTTCTTGCAGTTATTACCTTAACTATGGAAATCTTTCTTGTTTAACATTCCATCAAAATTGCTTCACATATATAGTCTGTGGTTTCAGTTCAAAGTTAATTTAGGTCTGCTTATTTGGTTGAAGATAGAAACCAAAAAGTCCAAAAGGACAATGAATGGTAACACTGTCATACACTGGAGAGGCACCTTTGCTGATAACTCCATAATCTGGTTGGGCATTGGCATCTTCAATATGGTGCATCTCCATGCTAATGGGAACCATTGTCCTTGCACTGGGTAATAATCTGCTTCCAGGTGATTCTCAAATACTGACTTGATGGGGTGTACTTGAAACAAGCTTCCACTGTATTGTTAACCATGCAAATGTGATCCTGGATCTTTCTCTGTTTTAGAAGAAAAAGAATTAATTGGCAACATTGCTGTGAAAATGGTAAAGCATATGTACGTTAGGAAATCTGGACAATTGTGTACTTCAACTCCATTGTGATTTTCTCTCCTGATTAGGTTAATGCACTCTTGCTAATTTCTACAACCACTCTTATTTTGCATGTATATTTTTAATTGTACGCTTTGTATTTTTGAAGGTTTCAAATGATTTTTAAAAATTCTTCAGGCTTTAGTTCTTGAAATCTACACGTACCTTTACCGTATATTTTACTAGGGTAAGATATATTTGTGGGAAAATCTGTTCAACTGCAATCCTGTGTACCAAAGAAAAGACTTTTTTTTAGTGCAGTTTCTCAAATGTAGTAAGTTTCTTGCTGTCAATATCTTGGCTTTCTTTACAGTGGTTACAAGATTGTTTCAGATTTCCTTTGGTTTGTGTCTTCTTTCCGGTTTTATCTTGAGTGTCCTATCTAATTTCACATGTAATGACAGAAGTACAAAAATGAGGCAAGTATATGTTTGAACTATTGTCACTTTAGTTTAATCCTGTATGAACTGAAATATTAAAAAAAAACATTTTAGTCAACAAACTACATGCATTGCTCAACTGCAGTATAGAGACCTTACATCCTGACTAACAATAGAATAGCAGATCATCTTGACAATTTGTCACTGGAAGATATCATTTCTTTAAGAATTCTATGTACACAAGTGCTTCTGGCCCCATTGAAAGATTTCCAAATGCTTCATGCTAACCTTTCAATCCTGAGGATTACTGAAACACAATTACCAGACTGAGTTCCTCGAATAATAGACATGCATTGTGGCAAAGGTAATAACACGTTTTAATGGATAACCATACTTGTAACATACAATAATGGTAAAAGTACTGAATTCAACAAAGTGTATTAAAATAAAATAAATTATCAGGAAATTACTTGTGAAGGAGCACATATGAATTGGGAAAAACTGACAAAATTGTAACTGAATAATTTGCAGAAAAGGATATTTACATTGTTGATCCTCTCAATTTGTACTTTAGAAATGCAGTAAATTCCCACCAGTCTTCACTTGTCTGTGAGTTTAGAAGGGGGAAAAATAATAAAAGAAAACTTGCATCCTGGAGTAAAAGGTACTTATGGACATGGGGCTTGTAATACCCGTTAGTAGTCTGCTATATTTGCCTTTACAAGGTAACACAGTGGTGGGAATTTCTGTATGCAAGAGTAATTACAGCCTTTAAACATTTTTTGTTTTTACATAGTGCATATCTTTCAGCACACAGAGATGTTATCGTTTGAATATATTTTCCAGTGATACCCCCTATTTTTATTCCTAGTTAGGCATTGGCACATGGTTTTTAAATTTTACTAAGTGTACTTCCTGTTTAGCTGTACGTTGGTAGTAAGGATGTATAAAGGGTGTCTTTCCTACTCATTTGCCCAGTGAAGTTGAAATGGTTAGAGTTATCCATTAGCTTTTGTGGTAGTAAGTGGTCTAAAGTTATTAAGCTTTTTAGTATGTTAACAATGAATTTACAGATTTATTTAGCTCCCATTTATCATGATAAACAAGATAATTAGGCGTTGCAGAACATGGCAAGTGGTATTCCACAAGGGTCAGTGCTGGCACTGCTGCTGTTCACAGTTGACATTAGTGATTTGGAATCAAAATCATTTTCTAAATTTGTGTATTATACTGAGGAGGACTGTAATAAATTACAAAAGAACATTAATAATCTTACAGAATGGGCAAATAATTGGCAAATAAAGCTGAGCACACAAAATTGAGCTGGCACTTTTGATAATTTATGGAGGCTACTTGTTACTTGGAAGATACAAATCTAGGTGGAGATAGACTGTAAAGGGATCTCTTGAGTGCACATACTAAATCAATCATTAAAAGTTGTGCCATAGGCGATATCATTTAAAAATAAAAGGACGTTGAGCAATAAGCTTTCTATCAAGGGGGATAGAATTTAAAAAAGTAAGAAAGTTATGCTAACCTCATATATCAAACTTTAGTTCAATGCGTTGAGTACTGCATGCAATTCTACTTGCCATATTATGAAAATGATGCTGGAGAGGGTACAGAGAACGTTCGCAGTGATGATGCCAGGAATATGTGGGTAAGTCAGGAAAGGAATGGGTCTCTCTTCTCTTGAAAATGAAAGCTATGTGGTGACTTAATAGTGGTCTTTAAAATAATGAAAGTTTTGACAATGGATACAAAGAGAAAATTTGCTTTTGTAGAGAAGAGCCTAACTAGAGGCAATCAATACAAGATGATGACCAAGAAATTCAATAGAGGACTTGAAGAAAATTCTTAATGCAGAGTCGTGAGAATATGGAACCACGCACAACCACAGGAAATGGTTGAAGCGGATATTATCGATGCATCTAAGGGGAAGTTGAGCAGATGAGGAAGAAAGGAATGGAGGGTTATCTTAAATTTAGATGAAGAGAGAAGCAGAAATGGTTGAACTGAATAGCTTGTTTCTGTGCTGTGTATCTGATGTAACCCTACAAATTAGTTTGATGTTTAAGCTTGTGTTTGACTTATTAATTAGGTGGTCCAAGAAAACCAGACGTGTCAATGGGAAGCCATGATCCTCGAACAGCAGTACAACTGAGGAGCCTTACAACAGTTCTGAAGCGCTTGAAAGAAATAATGGAGGGAAGAAGCCAGGTATAGTACACAGTAAACACAGTAAACACAGTAAAGTTGTTAACCTGCAGCACGTAAAACTAGAAAGGGAAAACCGGCTCGGAAGGCAGGAAGGACTGGAATAAATGGCCACCCACTAAACAACTATATAGAACCTTCCAAGAGTACTTTATCCTCATAGAAAAGATTGCATCAAACAGAAAAACAGAAAATGCTGCTAATACTTGGGTAACAGGTTTGTTGCCAAACTTGAAGATATGAAGAGCAGAGATGGCCAATGGGTTTTCATTAACAAGTACAATATCTGATTGCTTTGCTTTGAATATCTGTGATGCACTGTTCCTACCTTTTGAAGAGCAGGCAGTCACTCAAAAGGATGCACGTTTGTGCAGAATTCTGCAAAGAAATTGGAAAAGAGAACTTGTTTGTCATCTTATGTTTATTTAATTGTGTGGGCGACGCCAAATGTTTGGATAAAAGGATTCACTGCAAAACTTTTCAAGAAAAGGGAACAGAAGTTATTGTAACAAATGTTATGACAATGCATTTCTATCTTTCCCTGAGTATATTTTTCATACAACTGCCCCCAACAGATTTAAGGTGGCCATTGATGGATAGGTTTGATGTCTTTGAAATGTATTTCAGAAAGGGGAAATAGCATTTTTGCTGATAACTGCCCTCAAGAGAAGATGGACTTCCAATGGTCTAATTCTGAGAATGACTGACACGATCTCTAAACAGATAGGAAATTGAAAGTTAAGGAAGTGAAGAGCCAAATCACTGACCAGAAGAACTCCAAGAAAAACAATAAACGATTGGAGTTTGAGGGAAACATGAGACAATTTTATTACATGAACTGTCACCATCTTGTGCCATAGTGGTGTACAGGAGTGATGATGCATGTGTTATAGTAACTGCAAAAATTTCATTTCTGTCCGTCCTTCATTCTTGCTCAGATTGTAATGCTGAACAGTTAAAGTTCTCTTTATAGCAAAGTTGCATATCGAGGTATCAAATAAGGAGGAACTGAAATCATGAAAAAGCTTAATGTTCTTGTGAAGATTTGCAGCTTGGGTTGTGGATGAGCTTGTTGATTTGCTTGCTGAGCTGGCTGGTTGTAGTTCAGGTGTTTCGTCACCATGCTAGGTAACATCATCAATGCGGCCTCCGATGAAGCAATGTAGTTCTACTCTACTTATTTATATGACCCGGTCAGTTGAAGTGTTGTCATTTCCGGTTCTTTTTTGCAAGGGTTTGTATATGGGGTCTAATTCCGCATGTTTATTGATTGTATTACAGGTGGAGAACCAGGCCTCTAGGAATTCCCATGTGTGTCTATGGTTGGCTTGAGCTAGGATGGCCACATCGTCCCGGTTAAATTGATAGCCTTCGTTGTCTGAGTGTACTGAATTGAGGGAAAGCTTGTTGTGTCGTTTTGCTCATGGCTGGTGTTAGACGAGCACTCACCAGAACCAAAGACTCTATACCCACAACATGCAGGACCAACGTAGTGTACAAATTACTGTGCAAGGACTGCCAAAAATATTACATCCTCCAGACAGGAAGGAAACTAGCCATCAAGATACGCGAACACCAACCAGCAGCAAAATGACATGACGAACTTTCCCCCATTTCAGTACACTCGCACAATGAAGGCCATCAATTTAACTGGGACTAAGTGACCATCCTAGCTCCAGCCAACCATAGACACACATGGGAATTCCTAGAGACCTGGTTCTCCACCCGTAATGTAAGCAATAAACATATGGAATTAGACCTCGTACAAAACCTTGCAAAAAATAACCAAAATGACACAAAACACTTCAACAGACCGGATCATATAAATACTAAGCGGAGTAGAACTACATTGCTTCAGTGAAGGCTGCAATGATGATGTTATCTAGCACGGTGATGAAACGTCTAAACTACAACCAGCCAGCTCGGCGAGCAAGTCATAAAAAAGCTTTACTTGTAACAGAATATAGCAAGATGTGTTTATTTGTAATGCATGCACATTAAGTTCTAATAGTTCAAAATCACTGATTCCTGGATTGTTTCCTGGTTTTGCAAAACAGGATACTGATCTGAAGCAGTACTGGATGCCAGATAGTCAGTGTAAAGAGTGTTATGATTGTAATGAGAAGTTTACCACCTTCAGACGTCGACATCATTGCCGTTTGTGTGGACAGATCTTTTGCAGTCGTTGTTGCAATCAAGAAATACCTGGGAAATTCATGGGTTATGCTGGTACGTAAATAGGAAAGTCAATTTTGAGGTCAACTTTTCTTCTTAGTATGTGCCGATGTTTGTTTGTTTGTTTGTTTGTTTGTTTGTTTGTTTGTTTGTTATAACTGGAAGAGGGCAAGTGATTAGTTTTGCGTACATTATGGTGGATTAAATAAATATAACCATCAAGTCATGAACATGCTTTTCATCTTTATGGAGAAAGAAATTATGCAGTATGATTAAAACGTTTAAAAAGAAAACAGTGATTGCAAGATTTATTGACGACGTAAGTTGGGTTGAGTTGTCTTACTGTATCTTACTATCTTACATTGTTTGTCATATATACTTGGAGGAAGTTGATTTTAATTTTAAACCAGTCTTTTAGGCCAGTCATAATATTGATTCTTTTATGCAGTAACACTTTTGAACAATTCCTGTCTGTGCAGAATTGTTGCAATGGAACAGATTAAAACAAACAATACTGTTTATTTAAAAATGTAACCTACATACATTTCATCGAACATAATATTAATATATACCATACTGAATCAACCACAATACTTCGCATTGAAATTCTTCAGACATATGAACATATGAATTAGGGGCAGGAGTAGCCACTTGGCCTTTTGAGCCTGCTCCACTATTCGATAAGATTGTGGCTGATCTCATTACTCCACACTTCTGTCTATCCCTGATAACCTTTCACCACTTCATCATTATCAAAATCTATCTACCTCTGCTTTAAAAATATTTTAAGGCTTCAGTTTCTACTGCCTTTTTGAAAAAGAAAGTTTCAATTCTCATGCCTTTCTGAGAAAATACTTCTCTTCACTATCTTAAATGGGTGACCTTTAGTTGTAGCTTCTCCCACGAAAGGAAACTTCCTTTCCACATGCAGTCTGATAAGGCCCCTCAGGATCTCGTATGTTTCCATCAAGTTAATTTTACTTTTCTAAATGTCAGTGGATGCAGGTCCAACCTGTCCTGCTTCTCTCATGAGAAAAACTGACCATTCTAGTTATTAGTCTAGTAAATCTCTGAACTGCTTCCAATGCATTTAGATTCTTCCTGAAACAGACCAGTACTGTACACACTATTCCAGCTGTGGTCTCACCAATGCCATGTATAACTGAAACATAACCTCCTACTTTTGTGTATTCAATTCCCCTTGCAACAATCTATAAAATTATATTCGCTTTCCCAATTGCTTGCTGTCTTTTCATAATAACTCTTTGTGATTTCTGCACTCGGATACCCAGATCCCTCTGCATTTCAAAGCTTAGCAACCTCTCAGCATTCGAAATCACGTCAAAATCCCTATCTGAATCACCAAACAATTCATCCCTATGCCCTGATTATATAACGTGTGGATTTTCTTTACCTTCCTCATCATTAGTTGTGTTATGACCAGACTCTGAACAGTATTCCTCAAGTTACTATGGTTCCTGATTTCAAATTGTCAAGCTTCCAGGTGAAAAGTAATGAACAGGGAACTGTCTCCCCACCTTTACTAAGCAGACTTGTAGCACTCAGTTTGAGAGAGTCCTTTACTTATGACTTGTGTTGGTTTTGTAACACACTAGCTGTTGACCCTAGGCTAGTACTCACAAGGACCCCAACCCATTGAAATACTAGCACCTCAGCTCACTTGCACACACCAACACAGATTGAACTGATTTTTCATCCCTGTTGTTGTGTTTTCTTGAATGGGAAAACATAAAACATGTCTCTTGTCCTGACATTCATCTGTTCCCCAACATATTCACAATTGCAGATGATTCCCAAGAGGTTATATTTCAGCTTGTAGTTTATTTCTCATCATTTATGTCCTTCTGTTTGAAGCTTCACTGATGCCTTGTCAGGTGTGATATCCTAGGATTTCTCTTTCTCCAAAGGTCACTATATTTATATCTGCAATCATCATTTGGTTGTGTCTGTCTTTTTTCTTTTTTTTTGAAAGAGCACATACTTAAAAGTTCAGCATGACTATAAGTACATAAGGGTTCCTGTGTCATTATGACAATAGTACAGTAACTTCAACATCCTCATTTCACAAATAATTGTCCTTGATACCATCGTATGCATTTGATAGTCAAAAAAAAATTCTGCAATGTGGACTATCTGGATCAAATTCATTCCATACATCTATGGATCTAAAACCATTTTGCTAGTCAGTGTCTTATTTCCAGTCTTTCTATGTTTCTATACCTGTGAACATCCAATTGTTTCTCAGCTTTTGAGGTAAGTCCTTGAGAAACTCATTTTATACATATGTTCCAGGGGTAAACAACAAAAAGTTGTTGGAAAAACTGCTACATCATTATTGGTTGATTTTCCATCATTCAATGCATCATCGACCAGGTGAGATTTGAGTGTATGCCAGATTAGTAAAATCTTTTCTTTGCATAATCTGCCTGGAGTCAAATTTCATGATTCTTTGATCCATTCCCTGTATCTACTTTCATCAGTCCAGCCTTTTTTCGTGAATGTGGACAGCAGTGACTTTCTGAAATTTTTTTTTTTTTTAAGGGTAAATCTAGCTCTTGAATATCACCATTGCTTTATGTTTGTATCATCTGTCAGAATAGAACTACTGTATCCTACATCTTCTTGTGGCCAGTTGTCTTTCAAAGGATTTTTTCCTTTCAACAAATTTGGTAACGGCCTTGTTTTCTGGCATGTTGAGGTTTATCAATGTTTAAGTCACATTTTTAATGAAAGTCCGTCAATGAAAGTTCTTCCCTTCAAGTTAGAAGAATCATAGAATCCCTACAGTGTGGAAACAGACCCTTCAACCCAACAAGTCCACACCGACTCCCAGAGCATCCCGTCCAGACCCATTCCCCTATAACTTGCCTAATCTAGACATCCCTGAACACTATGGGCAACTTAACATGGCCAATCCACCGAGCCTGCACATCTTTGGACTGTGGGAGCAAACCCATGCAGACGTGGGGAGAATGTGCAAACTCCACACAGACAGTTGCCCAAGGGTGGAATCAAACCCAGGTCCCTGGTGCTGTGAAGCAACAGTGCTAACCACTGTGCCACCCTTGGATGAGAAAATGGTGAAAGTTTTACTTTGTGGAGCTCGGGGGGCAGGCGCTGTGAAGTTTTGGCTTTCTGGTGGAGTAGTCAGTCTACCTTTTTTGTATGTGCACTAACCTTAAATTTTGAAATATCATCTATTTTCACTTCTCTGGGGCTGCATGTGGTTCACTGGTTAGCCCTGCTGCCTCACAGCACCAGTGACACTGGTTTGATTCCAGCCTTGGGTGTCTGTCTGTGTGGAGTTTGCACGTTCTCAGTGAGTCTACGTGGGTTTCCACCGGGAAGTCCAGTTTTCTCCCACAGTCCAAAGATGCACAGGTTACATGAATATGGTGTATTAAATTGCCCTGTAATACCCTGGGTTGTGCAGACTAGATGGGTTAGCCACAGGAAATGCAGGGTTACGGGAATAGGATGGGGATGTAGGTCCGGGTGTGATGCCAAAAGGCCTCTATCTGCACTGTAAAGATTCTGTGATTCTCTGAGTGCATTGAATGAGTTGATATTGGAGGCATTAGTATTACCAATCTTGTTACGACACTTGTTAACCTATTCTGCGTATTCTCTAGCCGAGGCCATTTACTCAGAATTTCTTTGCTGCTGTATTTAATTTTTCTACACATTTTTAGTTTATTAGATATCTTTCTCCTGTCTTTCATTATTTTGTTAAAAAACATTAAACTTGCTGGCTGATGTATCATTTATTATTCTTCTCTGTGAATGTTGCAACTTTCGTTTTAAATTGAACCAAATTTTCTCTATTCATTCTTGAAAGTATCATTGTAGATCATGTGGTACATATCAAACTGTTGATTGGGAGTTTGCTACTAGAATTGGAGAATGAAAAATCTAGATACTCATACATTTAACAAGTGAATTGTCATAATTGCCCTAAGTAATAATCACAGCGTGGTTTGATCTCCTCTTAAAATAAAATGATGTCTGCATGAAATATACAGAAAAAAATCAGCTTCTCAGGCAATAACTGATGGGCTTGTAATTTACACAAATCTAGTGGTAAATATAAAAGTTGTAAAAGTCTAATCTCTCAAGTTCTCGCTAACAATTGATGTTGACAAAGTTACAGATATTAAATGTGCAACTTACTGCTGCATGCAGGTGATGCAAAAGTGCTACTGATTTTATCCATATTCTACAGCACTTGCATGTGAAATGTAGTTCATGAAATGTAGTCATTAATCTTACCTTGTGGGTGGACCAATTTTCCCCACAAGGTGAAACATTTTTCCAGTGTTTGGCACAGTTAACAATAACACTTCTTTCAGAAATGTATGTTGATAAATAAAGATCAAACTAGCTTGCAACCTTTGATAATGAATGCCACGAGCTTGTCTTTAATACTTTTTGCGTTGCTTGTTTGCTCTAATAACTTTCCAAATGTTTCTATGAAATGCATACTGTTCTAAAATAATCATTTTTTCTCTTCAGGTGATCTTCGAGCTTGCACTTACTGTCGTAAAATAGCTTTGAACTATGCACATTCCACAGACAGCAGTTCCATCGGTGAAGATCTAAATGTTTTGACTGACTCAATGTATTCTGTATCCATATTGGATCCAGTCGAACCTAGAACTCCTGTAAGTGGAAGAAAAGTCATCAAAAATATATTTTTGGAAGAAGACCTCGTGTGGCAGAGGTATATATAAGGCATTTTACATTTGAACTGTCCCTTCACACACAAGATGTAGGTTTCTGTCTGAGGGAGACAGATAGAAGTTGCTACAAGAGAAGTAAACATTTATAATACAGAACAATTCCTAGCATGGAGGTCCGCAGCACAAGTTGGAAATTAATGACAATCTTGTTTTGACTAATATCCTAAATGATTTAAGGACTAGAAACACTGATGCAATAGGCATCACATTTTTGGTTAAGGTATATTATTTGATCAGAATTTTACTCACCTGTGGCCTGCGTTATTCTTAGTTTTGAAATATTGATGTTCACAATTGATTGAGGAGAATGGGTAAAGGTTCCATTCTGTCTGGCGTTGATAGTCCTTGCATAGACCATCCCTCTTCAGACGTTTTATGGAAAGCTTTTGCAGGATGCTTTGTGGTATTTAAGAACAGTGAAAACTGCGCCAAATTAATTAGTTTTTTTTTTAAGATTTCAGAAAAATGTTTTATGATGCAAAAGTTTTGATTGAGACACGTGAAGGAAAAACAGCTATTGAAATCTGGCGTGTGCAATGTACCACACATTATTCTGACTTTATCCATGAGACAGGTCTGCTAATTTGTATTTTTGAATTCAGTGGCAGTAAAACAATTGAGTGATACTAGTTTTCTCTGTTTGTAACTCACATAATAGATAGTAGACATATTTGCAGATTTTTCATATGAAAGTCATTATTTGGAAGGATGCTGTCTATAGTTTCTTGTAGTAATTGGTGTAATGAAGGTAACTCACTCTTATTCGTTCAATCACTATCTGTCCTTCGGATTAAAACTTGCAATCATCCAAAAAAGGGAACCGTTTATTGATCTGGAATCTTCTCCTTGCTCGAGTATAGATAGAATCTTGTTCTTCTTTTGTGTTCTTTTCTGTCCTTTGTAGCAATTCTTGCTGTCATCTTTAGAAGATTTTGACTAGGATATTATGTGAAGCAGTAGTCACTGGATTACTGCTCCACTCCAACTTTTACTGATTTCAACTTTGGCTGTGTATTCTTTCTAGATCTACGCTTGACTGCTCCAGAAATTTGTTACACAGTATTCACCAAAGAGCTCTATTGCAATGCTGTAGTTTCTTTTGGGGTGTTAGGGGTGGATGTAAAATTGGATGTTTCCTTGTAACAGCCCCAGTCATTAACTTAATGGTCCAGTGTGAATGCCAGAGAACAGATGAGTGTACGTGTGAATGAATGAATGTAGGGAGGATGAGGCAAGGTGTCAGGTGGATAGGATGGCACGCATGTGAGGTATATAAATGGGTGAGTGGATAATTGTGTCGAGGATGGGTGTGGTCTAGTCCGGTAATGGAAGCTTATCAGATCAGGTATTTGGATTGTGGTGGCTAGTCAGGCTGGTCAAGCATCTTTTCCATAGCTTTGACAATTGTCTCAGTGAAATTTTTCAAGCATAAATTTTCTTTCTTACAGAATTTCTACTTGCATTTATAACAAAGCAGTATTTGCGAATAAATCGGTGTTGTTTTGACAGTACTGACATTCAGTGTATCACTCTCAAATTACCTTCCTTCAGTCAAGTCAAGACTGCCTCCAGCATCTGATCCATACCATCATTAAGTTTAGCAACCAAACCTCAGGTAATGCAGCATGAAGTAGAGCATGGGGTCATCTTGAAGATATTTGCCAAATGGTGAAAGTGCTGTGCTGATGGATTATAAAATTTACTGAATGAAGGGCTGTTCATCAACCCTAAGAAAATATTATTTACTTCTTGGGATCAGATGGATGCCATTTTGGAAAGAGTGCAGGAGTACAACTTGTAATAGATATAAGTGTGGAGCTGGAGAAGCACAGCAGGCCAGGCAGCATCAGAGGAGCAGGAAAGTTGACGTTTCGGGTCGGGACCCTTCTTCAGAAATGGGGTTTGGGGTGGGGAGCTGGGAAATAACTAGAGAGAGGAGGGGTGGGGCTGGGGAAGGTAGGTGGGATGGTGACAGGCGAGTGCAGGTAGGGAGTGCTGGGGATTGGTCAGTGAGGTGGGAGGAACGGATAGGTGGGAGAGAAGATGGACAGGTTGTGTCAGGTCAAGGAGGCGGGGATGAGAGGGAGGGTTGGTCATGGGATGAGGCTGGGGATGGGGAGATTCCATGGTCAATGATTCCATGGTCATCCCATGACCAAATCACCCCACGCCTGGCCTCATCCTAGGACCAAGCCTCCCTCTCATCCCTGCCTCCTTGACCTGACACAACCTGTCCATCATCTCTCCCACCTCACTGACCAATCCCCACCACTCCTCCCTACCTGCACTCACCTGTCACCATCCCATCTACCTTCCCCAGCCCCACCCCTCCTCTCTCTCTTTACTTCCCAACTCTTTCCCCCCCACCCCAACCCTCCCCCACAACTTCCCCATTTCTGGGAGCTGCCCAAAACTCCTTTTTTAAAAATTTGATTTCATTAGGTGCCACATGAAAGGTTATTGTGGAAAGTAAAAGCTCAAAATGTAGGGGGTGACATATTGGCTGGGTAGCAGGAAGTAGAAAGTTGGGAGAAGTGGGTCTTTTTCAGCCTGGTAGGATATCACGAGTGTAGTGCCACAGGGGTCAGTACTGGGGCCTCAACTCTTTACACTTTATATAAATGATTTGGATGAAGGATCGATGGTATGGTAGCAACATTTACGGATGACACAAAGATTAAGTAGGAAATTGAGTTGTGAAGAGGACATTAGAGCCTATAACGTGATATAGACAAGCGAGTGGGTAAAGATCTGGTAAATGGAGTACAATGCGGAAAAGTGTGAAGTTGTTCATTTTGACAGGAAGAATGACAAAGCTTATCTAAATAGTGAGAGGATGCGGAGAGATCTGCATGTCCTGGTATGCGAATCACAAAGTTCGTATTCATATACAGCAGGTAATCAGAAAAGCTGATACAATGTTATGGTTTATTGTAAGCGGAATTGAATGCAAGAGAAGGGAGGTTACACTTTAGTTATACAGGGCATTGGTGAGACCCCATCTGGAGTAGTGTGTACAGTACAGGTGACCATACTTTATGGAAGGATGTTGATGTTTGCAAGCAGTTCAGAGGTTTACTAGACTAACACTTGGAATAAACAGATTGTCTTCTGAGGAAAGGCTAAACAGGCTAGCCTGTATCCCCTTGAGTTTAGAACAGTCAGAGGTGACTTAATTGAAACATACAAGGTCCTGAGGGGACCTGACTAGGTGGACTTAGAAAGCATATTCCCTCTTGTGGAAGAATATAGAACTAGGGGGCATCGTTTAAAAAAAATTAAAACATTTAAAACTGAGATGAGGAAACATTTTTGAGGGTTGAGAGTCTTTACAATTCTCTTTCTCAAAAACCAGTGCATGCAGAATCTTTACATACTTTTAAGGCAGATGTAGATTCTTGATTATCAAGGGCGTGAAAGATTATTGGATATATGTAGGAGTATAGAAATGAGAATAAAACCGGATCAGCCATGTTTTTTTTTGAATGACAGAACGGGCTGGAAGGGCTGAGTGGCCTATTCTTGTTCCTTGTTCGTATGTAAAATGGAAAACTCCAGAAACTGCAATTTTTGAAATACTTTTCAGTCCCATCATAGAAAATGTTGAATGCTTTTCCCAATTTTTCTTCTTATCATGGGTAATTCAGAAGATTAGTGTAGAGTCAGAGGTTAACTTCATGACTTCCAGTGCGATCGACAACCATCAAAATCGACCTCTGTCAAAGTCCCACATAGATAAGATCTTCTGATTAAAGTAGATGGTCAGATCTGACAGGCTGCAATACTTCAGATTGCAACTTAGCACTTGAGAGACTAAACTGATCAATCAGGGTTTTCTAACAATCTGTTGGCCCACTAATGACATTCAAAAAAAAAATGCTTTAAAGATTTACAATCAGAAATTGGAGGGATTTCATGTATTTATACCAACACAATGATCTTGATTCAATGGGATATGATGCACCAACAGTTCTATTGTTCATAAGTATTGGTAGATTCAAGGCACGCTGAACTTAAAGACCTAGATTTTGTTGTAATAATAATGAAATCATCGGTGCTTGATGTTTAATACGGGGTAAATCTGACAGCAATTTTTGGTATTTACAGAGAAGCAATTAGATACAAAAATGTAATAGTTGCTGTCAAATATATCCTTCTTCCTCTGAAGGTGTGCTGTTGTGATCCTTGATAATAGTTTCTAATAAATCTATTCAGAGATGTTATTACACACGTCTGGAGCAGGTGGAACTTGAACCTGGGCCCCTTGACTCCGAGGTAAGAACACACTGACTCTGACAAGAGCCGTCCTCGATAGTCCTGATGTTGAATTCAGTATCAAGTGCATGAACCTTGGATGCTTGCCCGCTAGTTTTGTAAAATAGCTGAAAACATGAGAGCTGTTGCATTGAAGTGTGGAGTATTAATAGTATGGTAAATGATAATTGATGAGTAACCTAGCTCACAATTCAAATAATTTTTATAAATGTGGATTTTCATTTTCTCAAAGTTACTGTTAAGAGGTGAAAGAAAAAGGCCCTTTTTTAGCTTTCATCTGTGTCTTTGTCTTTTTTCTCTCTCGATCTAATTTCTATTTATTTAGTTTTATGTGCACAATTTAACACAAATTTTATATTTCCTAATTTGTATTTTCTTCACTTGCGCTCTGTCTCATGAGTCTGATTGATCAGAGGGTGGTTGTTTCATGCCCTGTTTCAAAGTGCCACAGCCTTCATGTAGAAGGCATCATATTGAAACAGAAGGATGAGAGGTGACTTGATAGAGGTGTACAAAATGATCAGAGGTATAGATAGAGTAGACAGCCAGAGACTTTTTTCCTAGGGTGGAGGTAGCTTTTATGAGGGGACGTAGTTTTAAAGTGAAAGGAGGTAGATATCGGGGAGACGTCAGAGGTAGGCTCTTTACTCAGAGCATGGTAGGGGCGTGGAATGCATTGCCAGAGAGGGTAGTGGAGTTGGCCTCA